ATACATATTTTCCCTCTTACCTGTAGTGCTTTTTATCCACCTAGATTGTTTTGGTGTGACTCGCTGAGTTTTGGAGATATAAGCCTTCTTTCCAATATAATGGACAAAAAAAAACTCAACAGCAATGTCTCTTTCCAGAAATCATGACCTGTTAACTAGCTAACGTCACAGCTGAGCCAAGGAGGTCGCCATGAATGTCTGCCAAACACAATCTAGGTGAATAAATAGCACTGCAGGTGAGGGGTTGATTTTGGGGTGAACTGTCCCTTTAAAGGAACCCTGTGAGAAAGCTTCAGAGCCAAAGTGTTAATGTCATCATGATTTAAAAATGTCTCCAAAGTGACGTCAAACTCGTCCTATCTTGTGTCCTCAGACGGGGAAGAAGGGCCACTCTTCTGTGGAGGATGCCAGAGCCACTATGGAGCTTTACAAGGTGGTGGAGGAGGAGTGGGAGAGGCAGCTGGCCTCCAAATCACAGGCCAGTTAGTGTCAGATTACAGGACACGACATGGAAATAAACTGAGCTTAAAACGGACATTTGGTGTGGCCGACTGGTTTCAGGATCAAACCCCCCCCCTCTGCTGTCCGGGTGATGTGTGAATGTTAATCAGATCTGCAGTCCAGCTGTTCCAGGACAACACTGAGCCCAGAGTGACGCTCACGCCACTATGGTGTTTGTTCATCTTCTCAACCATTTGAGGATGGAAGACATTTTAAGTCTGACCAAACTGCCACTAAAAGAGTTCTGTGTCACGTGTCAGCTTTGATTTTTAACGTTTGAATTGTGTTTAAGTGAATAATTGGGACAAAATACTGCCATATTGTTTGATCAAGCACCGATGATCTTCAGGGAGGTCGGTACTGAGATCGTCAGGCCCGCATGGGGCTTTTATAGAATATTTTGTCACTAACCAGTAGCCGTACGGGCATACTACTTTTATCGTTTCCAGACATGTTGTAAAATGTGACAAAATGTTTTTTAGTGTAAATGTTTGAAAAGCATAGATCTCTAGAAAGAAGAAGAAAAAAAGTTGTTGGTAAAGAAAAACAAAATTGTAATTTTGTGGCACAGTCAGGTGGAAACCTCGTATAACCTCGTAAACCTCTCTATATTTTTTTTCTTTTTCATGAATCAATGCTATTGATTACCCCAAGTGTGAACCTATCATTACATCACCCATTGGTTGTTTGTGGAGTACTGTTTTGAAGCCTCGAGTCTGGCGTTATGGTTGGTAAATGTTAAGGTAGTCACATTATTATTTAAATATTTCAACACCTGTTTTCCATTCAGATTTAAAGCCAAAAAACCCTCTTACACCCACCCAAATATAGGACATGACTTCTGTGTCTTCAATGGTAGCTACAGCCCCGATGCTCTTCATATCTCTTGCATGGACGGTCTTAAAATAAAACTTCCACTTGTCACAGCGGTTGATGAAACCAGTGTGTTTCTCTGACCTCTTCCAGTTAATGTAAATCTGCTGTGTTGGGATACAGAAGTGGTTACTTTCATACAATTTCCTATGCAATGACAGACGACTTCAGTTGTCTCCTGTACACATTCAGCTCTTCAATAAATCATTACCACAATCATTTTGAGGTATTAGAGTAATTACTGTGATGATAATATCATTCAGACTTTTCACTCCATCCATGTCCACTGTTTATGCTGCTAACCATCTTCATGTCACTACAGAGCTAGGGGATGCACTGGGTTGCCGGTTTATTGTATTGAGGGTGGAGTTCAAGTACCCCAGAGTTACTTTCGGCCACTGATAAACACCTCAGAATAACACAACAGCAGCACAGACCACAGCCTCAGATATGACCACAGATAATCAACAACAACAACATAGCTTAATGCTGCTGTTTGACATAACTCCAAGTCTGTATTAAGGCATTTCTTCATTTTTACTCTGGGAAAAACTGTAAAATCCCCTAAAACGATTGTATCTCTGACCTCTATAACTTTTGATAACGAATGTAAGATTTTTTCACTTCCACTGAAACTGTTTTGGGCTCGCTTCAACCTCTGTTTTAAACCACATCCAGCTGTGTTTTAAAAGGCTTTTGGTTTCTGCATGAGAAACCTTTAGAGATCTGTTTTTTGAACTGCCACAGTTACTGTGTCTCAGTCTTCATCTAAGAAAGAATCTCCTGACTGAACAGACTAGGATTTTGTGTTTTGGTGTTAGTTTCCCTTCCAGTACCGACCCCTTTCCTGCAGAGCTCATCCACAGCTGCATCCTTGAGTTTGCTCTCCTCAGACCTGACATACAAACATACACTTCTTCCACAGTGCTCCACTTTCTGTATCCTCTAGCAAGCGTTTGTCCTTAAAGGTGAGTGATCAGCACTATTTCCCTGCTGTGAATTCAACACCAGCACATTAATTATACAGCATGCCATCCTTCCTGAAAAAGCCACACCAGACACAACTGCTGGCACGGAGAAGCTCATTAAAGAGAAAGAAACACACCAAACCTCAGAGGCAACGCTCCGCTCTAACACTAGCAATGACTCACCACTTTCTCATTTGAAGTCAGGTACGATTGGAAGTGTCAAGGACTTTACAGAAAGTGTTTGTGAGTTACGTTGGTGTGAGATTAGAGAGTTTCTAGAAAGAAGCAAGCTGTCCTGAGGTAAAGACAAGTCCTGTGTCTGTTCTTTGTCCGTGGAGCGAACAGGCAGCTGAAAACCCCTCAGTATCACCACAGAGGATGCCAAAGCATCTAATGGTCACAGTCTAAGTAGCTGGCAAAGGAGGCAGTGGAATCTCCTGTGCTAGAAATTCTTTAGCTGTGAACTCCACAGTGTTTTAGTTACTCAATAGAAGACAAGAATAAACTGCACAGTAGAAATCTGGAGCCGCAGTTGAAAAGTAGAGTTGGCTTAAGATCATTAAAAGCTTTTGTTAACGTAGAAAGACCAAGTTAATAAAGGCTTTCAATCTATTGAATTTGCAGCTTCTTCCCTCTGTTAAAGCAGTGTGGTGGTCTGGCTGTTGAATGCAGTACTGTAGTACTAAAAGATCAGTTCATCCAAATTACAAATACAACATTTTATCACTTTAAGAAACACCCTTCATTATAAAACAGCTGCTATCCGGACACCTCGAACTGCAGAGGTCAGTTATTAAAATGTTTACTATGATTTCTTAAGACCATGTGATATATTGGCATCTAGCAGTGTAGTTGTTGATTACAACCCCATCACCTCACCCTCCAATTCCAAGTGTGTAGGAGAAACTACGCTGGCCACGAAAAACACATAAGACCCTAGAGCCAGTGTTTGGTTCGTCTGTTCTTGGCCAGTGGTTCCCAATCTGGGGGTCGGTTGATTTTAAGGAGAGTAAAAATACACCCATTTGGCCTTTATCTCTGCAATTTGTTTATGTCTGTGAAGAAATGAAATTGTTATTTTTAAAGTTTAGATTATTATTTAAGACAAACTTTTTTTCTTTTTTTACCTTAGCACCTTATTCAAAGAGCTTTCACTCTCTGCTTAACAGCCCCATCTTACATTAGAAAAGTATGCAGTTAAATATATAATACAGACTGAGAATTGTATAAAACGTTCTTAAAAATATCAGGAAAACTCAGGGCGCCTGGATGGTTCGTGTGGTAGGGCTCCTGCTGCAGCGGCCCAAGGTTTGGGTCCGACCTGCGGCCCTTTGCTGTGTGTCATCCCCTCTCTCTGCCCCCCTTTCCTGTCCATCTTCAGCTG